CTGGGCTGGTATGGATGAAAGCAGCGGTATCTGGAGGATTCCTTGAAGATCTGTTGTATTCCGTTACGTTTTTCCTGAGTTTTTTTGCATGAGGGTCATGTGATTTCATAGAAATGAAATAATATAAAAATGTAGGTGGCTTTATATTGCATGCAGAAGTGGTACAGAAAAAGTCTTAAGATAATAGTCAGTTGGATGAAAACTGACTATTTAAGTCTCAAGAAAAAGTCTTAAGATAATAGTCATAGAATAGGTTTGAGCTCTGTCTACTTCTCTACCCATTCATATGCAAGATACCTGAATAACACTCAAAGATAAGTATGGAGAAAAGTACTTATTTACCAATGTTTTTCTGTGTAGTACTCAGCAAGGAGATTAAAGAAGTATTTTTATGGGTTTTATGATGTTTTATTCTTAACTTAGCAGGCTCTCGAATCTTACAATGACCGCTTAGACATGACTAAAGATCATAATTGTACTGTCTCAAGTTAAGGGAAATTAAAAAAACCACTATCTTATAGTGTTATCATAACTAATTATTTTGATTTATTTTAAGCCCTGGATTCCTTCGATTTGTGAGAGTCTTGTGTGGTATGTCTTCGGATGAAAGGAAGGCTTTTCTCCAGTTCACCACTGGTTGTTCAACGCTCCCACCAGGAGGACTGGCAAACCTACATCCCCGGCTCACTGTTGTACGCAAGGTACGGCTTCTTCAGGTTGCCCTTCAAACCAGCTGTTTTGGCTTCTGAATGTAATTGCTGCTACATTAAGAAGTAACACGGGTTTTTCTTCTTATTAATTTTTTTCTTTTATTTTCTGTTTTTAATTTATGACACTATGCTAAGCTTTCAGTACTAACCTCTGTTTCAGGTCTGTTCTCTGACTTGGTGTTTGAATATAAAAGAATTAACGTACATCTAAAGTAAATATGTTTGCAAGTTGGTCTGTAGCGTTCCTGATGCTACTGTTTCTTGACCGCTGGTGTTACCTGTGCAGTAAATGTCACGAATCAGAGGACCTTAAAACTTCTAACCTCTGTACCGAGCACTGTGAACAACTGCAGTAAAAAAATCTCCTTCCTTTTCCTCAGGTTGATGCTACAGATGCAAGTTATCCATCTGTGAATACGTGTGTGCATTACCTAAAGTTGCCTGAGTATTCTTCTGAGGAGATTATGAGAGAGCGCCTGCTAGCTGCTACAATGGAGAAAGGGTTCCATCTCAACTGAGCCGCCGACTGCCGGAGGGCACATGGGAAACTGTTTTTTGATACTAGCGAAGCCTCTTGTGTTTGTGTGCAAAAAATATGATCTCCACGCTGTGCTCTGATGAGACTTGCCTTTTTTTTCACCTGTGAGGCTTTAGGAACATGTGGAATAAGTTTGTTAGCTGCTAATGACGAAATAAATCCTTGTGACTACACAGCCAGCAAGAAATTGGCACAGAACACTGTGTGATGCATCAAGGGCTTGCACAACTGGAAATTAAGGTGGTTCTGTTTGACTGTTCCAAAGAACAGATCATCAGATTTTCAGTGTTCACTGATACAAATTTCTAACAGTGTATTTGTGTAAAGTTTGTCATTTAATACCTTGTACACTACGGTTGCCATCACTGATCCCTGTTTTGCTGGCTTTAAGCTAACTGGTCAGAAACTTGCTTCCTTAAAACTTAGAGTTAATGGGCATCTCCAGCTTTTTTTTCTTTCTTAATGGTGCCTGCACTATTGGAGTATTTTAGTGGGTTTTTGCATATAATCAGGCACAACTTTTTTTTTTTTCCTCCTTTCAAGTGGGAATATATTTTGATTTCTTAAATGCCCTGCTATAAAGATCAAATCCTTAAGTGTGTTTGTGCAGCTCAACAATAAAGCTATTAAAAAACACTGGTTCCTAGTGCAAGGCACACTTAAAGCAAGTTTTACTTTTGGTTGTATTTTCTTTGTATATTATAAACATTTATTTAACTTGTTGCAGTTTGAAGTTTAAAAAAAACCACCCAATGTGTAAGCTCAACAGTAATCATTAAAATGTTTGCAACATATAAAACTGTCTCCTCTGAATATTTCATTAATGCTTCTTATGTTATTAAACCTCTGTACATATTCTGAGCAACATGCCATACTTTTTTCAAAGTAGGGAAGTTTCTCTTTAAAGGAACTACGTGGCAATAAGTGATCTCATGAACTCATCTCTGCGCTCAGCTCTTTCCAAAATCACACAGCACGACTTTTTAAGAACTAGTCTGGCAACAATAACTCTGCATGTGGCAATTTTCAGTGCTCTTCAGTGGGCCCGTGTGATCTGAGGTTACAGTTCTCCGTTACATTGGAATAAAAACTGGGTCAGATGATGCAGCCGATTCAGCTTTACTTGAGCAGGGGTGCCCTTCTTGGCGTCAGCACGTGGTGGGGTATTTATTGGTAAAAAGCGGCTTGCGGTAAGATAAAGCGAGATGCTAAGATGTCTTTAAAGATATTTAAGTACTTGATACCAGAAAAAAAAAGTTATTATTTTAGCTGAATCTGTGTGGTAAACTTTGTTCTGTGCCAGTTCTCTTTGGTAAGAGAACAATCTTTGCCTGGACCGCTGGTGAGGGAGGGCTTGCCAAAGGATTCCACCTCAGACACGCAAATCAGGCTGATGCCAGATGTCTTTTCATAGCATTATTCATAGGACTTCACAGGCGTCCTCTTTGGCATTCTCCCCAGTGCAAAATAGAAAGGGGATCTCCACCACCCCCTACTCCTGTGACTATCGTGATTCAACAAAACAGCCGCATAAATCTTGCGTATGAGTGTCTCCTCTAGATCCAACGTCAACTTGTTCTGCTGAATGTCGTGATGCAGACTGTTCTCCCGCACAGCACTTCACTCTCTGCTCCTTAGACCCTGGTTTCTGAGCGTAATTCAGATGTGACTCTTGGGTGCTTTCCCATGTAAAGCTCACACAGTATAGGCTCCTTCAGCGTCAAGCCATGCCTTGTGTTGGTGTGGAGGTTATGAGGAAGGAGCGAGATACCTTAATGCTAGAAAGGAATGTGAAGGCAGGCTGGGACTGCTGACTCTTCAGTGACTCAGCGCAGTACCGAGGTACGAATCAGCGTGCGGTATGCCTGTGAATACAGCTAGCGCAGGGAGCTCCATCCTCCCTCCTACTGCAGAAGGCAGGTGGGATTTGGTACCTGGCTGGTCCTGAGAAACTTGCGTATCTTCAGTTACTCATCTTTTGTAAATGTGTTAATCATGATGCACGGATAGAATGTGCAAGAGGGAAAAAATACACTGGTGTGCCAAAGTAGAAAAGGTTTTGCGTAATTTATGAAGCCAACACGATAAAAGATGATAAAACTTTTAATTATCTTTATTAATGTTATAATATTTAAGTGCCAAATACTTCTAGTTGCAACTTTACATGGTATGCAGGAATACTGAATACACCTGTACTTCTGTTGTTTGCATTTCTTTTGTAACTGTGACTTACACAGAAAAGGGAGTGAAACCAGCTTTTTGATGAAAGCTGAGCCTAGTTTAGAAGTGGTCATAAAAGTTACCGGGCTTCAATTTACAGCACATTTGTATGAAAATTTAAAAAATCAAGTTGGTGCTTAAAGGAAGAACTAAAACTCAGTTTGAAATTATACTTCCATGTTTTCTGTCTCCTAGGTCTGGCACAATGCTACATAATTCAAAGTGATACCTAGATAGATGGTCACGTGTAAGTTTCCATTGCTTTATCCCCAGTCAATTTTTAAAGATGTTCACTGTGCTAGAAAGATTGCTGCTGCGTCAATAAAGCTGCATCTGAAATTGAAGGTTCCACTGTATGTTTAGCTGTATCTTTCCAGTAGGTACGTAGGGTATAGCAGAAACAGGAAATATTTTCCAACTAATTTGAATGTTGCATGAGTTGGTCTTAGGACATCAGAAAACTGCTGGTGATATGCTCTTGAAGGTTTCACCATCTTTAGTAAAATGTTGTCATCTGCCTTGTATCTTCCTAGCTTTCTGCCACTTTGTCGAGCACAAACAGAGGGGCAAGAATTCTGGTCCTGTTTGTTTCCACGATGCAGCCATTTAGCACCATTTCATCCAAAATGATGTGCACTCTGTCCAAATTGAACATGATCTAGAAACATTTCCGGTTAAGAATATTTTGAACAACATGAAGATAATTCAGAGAAAATCTCAGGTACCTTAGTCTTTAATCAAAGCTTACAAAAATAGGTATTTCTTTATTTATTCAAGTTTATTTGGCTGTTTGTCTTAATAGAGCTAGGGAAACAGTTCAGCTGACACTTCTTTTCTGGCCACAGAGATGTCAAAAGTTGGTAGCAGAGAAGTTAAACCCCCACCAGGATCCCATCTTGGAAGATTACCACATAGCAGTAAAAGAAAGGTAAGTGTGAACTTAGATTTTACTACATATTGCTCAAATATAAAATTTTATCAAGGGATAACAGCCTTGTATATGAAGATGCAAATATTCTGCATTTCTTCTTGGCAAAGTAATTGTCTGATCTGCTGGAAAACAGCTTCCTAAGAGGAATATGCTGATACGTAAAGTTAAAGCATTGATCTATTAATAAATGTCACAAAGAAGAGTAAAAGTAAATAAAAGGTTCACACTTAAAATACTTTCTAAAAGATATTTCTGATCTCTAGTGTTCACCTAAAGGAAAATTATCTGAAACAATACAAACTTGTACTGTTGGGTATAAGAAGTTTGTCCATAACCATGTCTATCTTTCCTTAACATTATCTAACAACATCTGTCTCAAAAAAGCCCATGACGGGCCTGACTCCGGTAAGAAGTGGCAGGCAGGCTTCTGCAGAGTTGGTGTTTGTGCACCCGCTGAACAACTGCAAAGGGCTACTTATTTAGTGAAAAAAGACTCTTGTGTTGCCCTTCATCGCCAGGGTGTGAAACGGAAACAGGCACCGCAAGCCAGCCTGCTGGGAGCATCTGTTACCCTGACTGCCCTGCATGGACTAGAGAGGCGTGAACAGCCCTTGGGCTGCCTGGCTCCCCACCTGTTGCTGCTCTTTATGGCTGCTCTTCGCTGTGCTCAGCAGAGCAGCGTGGCCTGAATTTTGCTCCTTCTAGTTCTTGCCTGCAATATTGAGCAGTACTGTGGCAGAGCTAGCAAGATACTTCACAGTAACTCCTAAATATACCTTTCAACACTTTTTTCCAACTTTGATACAAGTCTCTTCAGTGCCTTCTCTGCCCATTACACTATTTTGGATGCTATGGTTTGAGCTCAGGAAGACAGTCTGGTTTTGCTCTAGTCCTTGTATTTATGTTAGTGAAATTCTACACTGGAGCTGCAAGAGCCAGGTTTTTGAAGGCATCAACATTTTCCTCTGGTCAACATGATAAACCTTAAATCATGTTTTTTGAACGTGGCTCAGGCATTCAAGCGGACTGCTCTGTCTCACAAGTTCTAGTGGATCTGTAACTACAGCAGTCTGCCCGACTGCTCTGCTAAAGAGCAGGAACAGTGGGAGTACTGAACAGTCTATGACAACAGCTGAGGAGCCACATATTTATTCCTTCTAGGTGGTAAATCCAAGTGGAGAGGAGACAACACCTTAAAGCACCAAAGCTGCAATGACATGAGCTCAGGAAGGTGAACAGTCTTAGGTCTGAATTCGAGAAAGGGGTTTAAGTAAAGTAACATTGCACATCCTCATGCTTAGTTTTTTTAGCACCTGACTTTGAGAAGGGAATTCCTTAATCTGCGTTAGGTGCCTTGTTTTATCTGTGATGGGTGGTGAAATCCAGACTGTCAAACAATTCAAAGTTCTAAAGAACTGAGGCTGAAGCCAGTACTTCATAATGCAGGGAGGAATTTTTTTTTTTTTTTTTTCAATCCTTTCTCTTGGATTCAGAAGCCCAACTCTTTACTTCAAGTAATGATGACTGGCTTGGTCTCTTCTTTTGAAAGGTCACAGTAGAGATGGTGCTGGCCTGAAACTTGTAGAGTACAAAGGCTGAGCCTCTCCTCAGCCTGAGGGGTTACAAACCCGCCTTTCTACATGGGCAAGCTTAGTAGAGTTCTTCTGCTGTCTGTAAAAGTTCTTGAGCACGGTCTAGCCCAGCGATGAGAGTTAAAAGATTTTGTCCCTCTCTTGGTGATTGCTTCTGCTTTAAACATTAAAGCAAGAAGAGGGCATAGAATATCTAATATGACCACCTTTTGCCTATGACCACCCTTCTAAGAGATGAAAAGTAGAAGCTTGAACTTGCTTAGGCTGAACTTTAGGATGAACCTGTATGTTCGAGTTGATGAGAACACAGCTAGCAGGCTGCCACCTTCCTCTGCCGTTCCAAGTTGCCTTGAGGGCTCTGGGCTGAACTCGGTGCTTCTGTGTATTTGTGTGGAAGGGCAATTGTATTGCTGCGCCAGCACACGCGCTCTGCTTGACCAGGGCGCAGCACCTCTAGGTTTGCGTAGTAGCAGAATTCAGGCCCTCAGATCACTTTGCTACTAGTTACTGTGTTATGGTTTGAAGTGGGGGGGGGGGAGGTCTAAGGACTCAGCCTAACCCACGACATACTGTTATGTGAGGAAGGAAAACTACAGCCGTCAACAGGATCTCGGGTATGTCTGTGGTTCATTACATAGCTTCTAATTTGCTGGCCTAAACTTAACCACCTGATTTAATTCTAAAGTTGTATTTTAAATACCAGACTTCTTCCTGAGTCTCACCTAAATTGCTTCTAAAAATCAGATTTGTGCCTTTCAATGCTAAAGGAGTAATACTGTCCTTAGAACCTCAACAGTCTCAGTTTCTGTGGTCCAGAGACAAAGGTAGTTTTACTTTGCTTGGCAGATTAAAAGACTCGAGACAAATTTCTTCCTATGGTCTACTTTTGAAGTAAATCAGTCTTTACAAAAATATTTTAATCTGAGAAGTTAGGATTTCTTTATCCAAGCAATGTGAGAATTTTTAGGAATACAGCTCCTCTACTGCTGCTTGGTTCACCTCTGGTACTGCTCTACATAGGGCAAGAGGATCTGTTAACGAAGTTAGATAACATTCCATTCAGGTTTCAACAAGCAATAAAGCCAACTCCTCCCAGCTTTTAGATTTCACTTTCTACCACTGATTCACAGTGCTTCAGTTCTCACAGTGGAGTGAGAGCTCCCATCTCTCCAGGCCGCCTTCTTCCTTTGAGAGACCCAAGGATCTAAAACCTAGAAGACTGGATCAACCAGGATCAGTGATGATGCAGCAACTTGTTGCTCCCATCTCATTTTTCTGCACCACCTTGTTTAAGAAAACATTTAAAACACACTTAGCACTGCCCTTTGCCCTGCTGCATTTCCTAAAGAGCTGATACTATGTCAAAGGAGAGCTGCACCCCCATCAAGGAGTATCTTGCAGCTGTTCCACTCAAACCCAATATGGTTAAATGAGGCATCAGTTCCCCTGCAGGGCCATTCCAGTTATTACCAGACTGGCCTGCTCCATCACAGAAAACAGTGGCATGATTTCTGTCCATCTGTAACCTGTTCATCTCTCAGCTGTCATTCTGGAACCAGTGATTTCACCTACAGTTTGAATGGAGATGCTAATAGATCTTTCCAGAATGGTATCATCTTGATTTTGGAAGGTCCCGAAGCATTCTTTACCCTCAACCTAACATCCCAGTTTCATTTTTTAGTTCCCTTCCCACCTCCCTTTACTGTGCTGTTCTTGGCAAACAGTCAGATTGCACTGGGCAGAGCCTTGGCTTTTTTTCCCCTTCCTGTAAGTCTCATGACTATCCTTTACAGTCATATCTCATCACACGCGCACCGCTTAGCCATTCGCGCCTGCCCTGCCCTGCCCCGTGAGGGCTATGTATCTCCTCAGCAAGGCTCATCCTCCCCACCTGTCACTGGTTTGCCAACTGACCCCAAATTGCAGGGTTTAAAGCCCTGCGGTCATAGATCCACACCCAGCCGAAAAGCGGCAAAGCAAACCAGTTTGAGCAACTGGCAACAGGAAAAAGCTCTGTTTGGTGGGTGCGCTGCCATGTGCACCACCCAGAGCTGTCACTTAAGGTTCTGCTTCCAGTAAGAATCCTGGCTGCCCACAAAAGAGAATCGAGAGACTTTCACTAGATGTGTGCAGAGGCTAACAGGCATTTTTAAACAAGCGTGTGGAAGAAAACGTGTATTAATCGCTGCAACTGTAGATGAAAGACTGTAACAAAAGTTCTCAGAGCGCCCAGCTAGGAAATACTCTGGACAAGCTGTCAGCCCAGGCTGACAGGTGAGCCCTTCGCGTCGCTGGTTCACAGCTTTCCGCCAACGCTGCCGCGGCTGCGCGCCTCGCGGGAGAGGCAAAGGGCACCGACGACAATTGGCGTTTCAATGCCACGCTGGCTTGGAGAGCTGCCCTTATTAAAGACATTCATGGCACTTTCTGCTCTCACAAAGAGTTTTTAGGGCACGCACGTACTAAGAGGAGGTAAACGTGACACAGTCTCGCATCTCCTGCCCTAAAACATTATATAGGCAGATAGCTGAGCAGAGGAGAGGGGAAGGAAAGGAAAAAGGTATATTTAGGACTTGCATGTGATAAATAACTTCTTCATATAGAAACATTTTAAGATATCTCAGGATTTTCCAGGCAAGTAATTAAGGGTGTGTACAGGCTTAAGTGATGATAAAGTGCAGCCAACACCTTGTGATCAGGTAACACACCCAGGAGCACAAACAAAAGCTTTGCAGATTACAGCAGGAGTACTCATGGGGCAGACAGGTTTGCTACTGACTACAGAGCATTACCAAACTTTGATTTCCATCCTGGACATTCATCTTCAACTAAAGATTAGTTGGAGTTGCTTCTCTTTTTCATCTAGAGTCACACATTCTGACTTCATCTTTGCTAATGTTTGCTTTAAGTAACTTTTAGTTCATATAGTGGCAGGCAAATTTAGTAGGCGCTGAAACCCATTTAATGCTTTCTGACCATTTCTTCCTCAAATGACTATGCTGACGTTAAATAGGAGACAAAGGGTGCCTTCAAGTTCTGTGATATTCTAGAACAACAGTTTTAAGCTCATCCTTATGGGTTTCCATTTCACCTACTTATTTTACAGTACAAACTGAAACGTATCCTTACAAATTCTCAGAATAAATTCATCATTCAACTTTCTTACTGCTTAAATGCACTGTATTCTGAAAGTGTTATTCCACGGGGGACTGAAGAATACAGTTGATTCACATGAAGCATTCCCTGTATCAAAGCTTTTTATCTATCCTAGGAGCAGCAGCAGCTAGTTGCAACGGAATGTAATGGTTTTTTTGGATCGAGACAGCATTCTTTAAATGCTTGGTCCTAGAGCACCCTGTCTTCAGCCTCCACTCCCACAAGGGGAACGTAAGTATCTGCTTCTTCTGTAAGTTAATAATGTGTCTTCAATTAAGCTTTGCTTCACCAGTTCAAGCAACAGAAAAGTCAACTTTCTGTAATTTTAGAAACTCCCAGGCTTACCAGCATATCGTTCCCTGCAAAGCTGCTGTGGTTAACACTTGCGTTTTTATAGTCTCTTTGTCATCATCACACCAAGCAGCTCCTACACCATCCAAGCTGGAGTTTTAGAGAAAATCCCACAGAAAATCCCACCCACTTATTTCACACACAGAAGCGAGGCTCATCTAGTGCTGTTAACACATTAGCGAGCAACATCCCTAGGACAATTTCAGTACTTGAACAAGTACTGAATTCAACTGGCCCAACACCACTATTTACAGATATTTTTGAAACAAACCAAACAACTTGAGAAATGTTATGTCATTCCATCATAGGTACCCTTAAGCATGTGACTGACTTTCAGAATGGAAGTGGATATCCTATAACAGCTTTACAATCACACATAAACACTCCTGTAAAAACCATGGCTACTCTAGAGTTAAAATAGTTACTTACTTGGCTAGTAGCTAATTCATTTTTGAATTTGAACTTTGGCTAGTAGCTAGTCCATTTTTGCAGCATGCCTGAGACGATTTAGCAAATGTTGATGCATTGTTTAGCATCACATACACCTATGTCACACATACATGTAAGTATTATGTATGAATGCTCTTGGGCAGGATTCAGACTGCACCCAGTCTCTGCCCAAGGTGCTCTTCCTGACAGCAGACATCAGACTCAGGCCATGATGCAAGATAGGATGCAGGTGCCCTGGGTGAATTTGGGTGTTTGGACCTAAATGAAAGCTGGAGTCCGTATTAGGAGGAGCTGTGTTGCCAGGAACACTGGGATAATGCACTGAGGCTGGGGATGTTTTAAGAATCCGTGCACATGCTGCAGGCTTAGCGTGGGCTCCAGAATATTTCAGTTGCATGATGGTCTGAGCCTTTATAGATTTAACTGGGGTTTGCTCTGTGCATGGGTGAATAGCCTTCATTGATTATGATCCTCTTTTCATGTTTTTTTGATTTCACGTAATTTCCTACTATTTTTTTCATGTTAGTAAACACTACTTTCTATATAGAATAGTCACTACTTGGTGTTCACAGTTACAGACCTTCAGCCAGTACTTCCTCCATCAGATATTTTGCATCCAAGCTAACTGTACTGAATATAAGAGTTAGCTGAAAACTATTTGGCAAAGGAAATGGTTTAATCCCAGGTGGGGATATAACCTTACACACTATGAAAGGCATATTGATGGATTATTTGCTTGCACTTCTTTAACGTCTAAGATACTTGTGGCTCAGATATTACATTGTTCTTCTGGGGCCTGCTATTCAAGCTGTTGTGAAAAATAAATACAATCTTGAATAGCCCACTTCTTCATGGTTACACCTCTGCTTTACATTTAATGTTGAGGGTATCTCACTTAATTTCAATTATTTTACGTACCATCTTAACTTATGAAAAGATCTTTTTCCTAAATGGGAAAATTATTTTGTACATATA